CCCCAAAACCCCAAAACCCCAAAACCCCAATAAATGCAAAAGGTATTGAAAACTAATAATATCTAGGATTTATGCTAAACAGGTCTGAGAGAGAAATTGGGTTTGTTAAGGAACAGGCTGAGGGAAGGGAGGTTGAGCAAGAGTTTGGGTATTATGATAGTGTGTTTGCAACAGGGATTACAGGAGAGATGGTAAGAGGAGAGGGGATTGGGTAACTGGGTTTGTTGCGACTTCTTAAGATTAAACCTTGGGAGGTGTATTGGAAATCTTAACTAATTTCTATAGAGATCAAAGGAAATGATGCAAGATTGGAGCTCTTTTGGGATTATTGATCCTTATCTGGCACAAAAAACTTTGAATGAAGCAGTTCAGGATTCTAATATTTCCATTTATCATTCCAGAAAAAGTTCAGAAAACATACCCAAAAAAGCTGTTTTGAGAAAATCTCTGAGACAAATTGAAGACAATATTTCGATTGAAATAAATAAAGAATCAGGAGATCTTACTACGACCTCTTCTCAACAACGATCTTTTACAAAAGTTCATTATAAAATCTTCAAAATTGAGAAGTACTCTAAGAGATCCACAACAGCAAAGCAATCGAAAGCCAATTTCAGAGGAGATGCAGAAATGAAGAAAGCTCTCAGATTTATCAAAATGTCACTAAAGAAATTATTTAAATCAATGAATGAAAAGGTAATACAAAAGAGATATGTCAACTGAAGCTCTCGTGAGATCTTCCAAACTATGAAGCTGACTCTCCAAAGTGTTATCCCTAAAGAATTTCTCGAAGATGACTTAGTTTATTATACTGTTGGTATACTAAATATTAAGAAGCCATCTCAACTCGTCTGTAAGCAAAAGGTTAAAAGAGAAATTTCAGACTTCATTCAAACTAGCAATAATTTCACTTACAAAAGACTCAAGAGAGCCATGCAGTCTTTTAGTCTCAGAGCTCTGTGTAGATACATGATCTCACAAGCAAACGAGCTCATAGCAGAGACATTGCAAAAAGCACTGGATTTTGAATAAATGCTTCATATTAAATTGCACTTTGTGTTCTTAAGAAGAGTTTACGATAAAAGAGAGTTAAGAAGACTTAAAGGAGCAAAATATTTGTAACGAGGATTTTCTTAATAAAAAATTACGACTCAAATTTTCCATCTTTATTTTGGCTGTTTTATATTTGAATGCTAAGCACATTATATGAAATTTGCGGAATTTTCAATGACGATTATATACTCTTGATTTCTCATTAGAACAAATCTGTTAAACATTATAGAGTGCAAATTTTAATATCTTTGGGTGATAGAGCCTATTTCTCTGATAGTCAGCTGCTTCAGTACTATTTTAAGCCTAATTATGCTAAAGATGCAGTTTAGAGAACTTAAAATTTATGGAGTTTATAAACTAGTTACAAATTTATGTCATATGGCTTATCATAAAATTTTGATGGCGATTTTGCCAACTAATAGAAGCAATAATAACTCTCTGTATATAATCTTCCTTCAAGAGAAAATACTAAAATTTTAGTACAAAATTTACTGTAACAGTCTCCTTCTTGGATTATTATTTATAAGTAATAACCATAATAGTAAAAAGTTGTATATTTCTCTAAGCCTAGGAAGTATTACTGCGGTCATCTTAATACTTGTGAATGAAAATGCTTACTGATAATTCTTAAAATTTCGCCTAAGTGTTAAAATTAGTTGTATTCATATATCTATTTCTGGGCGAACCTCCTTTAAAATTTGACTGCATTTGGAACTTTGTGGTCACATTTCTTTTATCTCTTGCTGCCAATAAACTGAAATTGCATTGCTCCATTGCAATATAGAGTGTTTTAACTAATTTGCAATAAATCTAAGAGGCTAACCTAGTCCATTTTATGTATGAATTTCTGACAATCCAAGTCTAAAACACTTCCCCAACTCTACTTTTGTAAACTATTAAGGATCTGGGATACTTAATTTGTTAAAATATTAAGCATCTGAGGCTCTCATCCTTTGCAATCCTCTTTTTGGAGAAGTGTCGAAAGGACTTGGTAAACTAACTTTAATCTCTGATCCGAAGATTTTGTTCCTTCATTGTTTACTCCATAGAGCTAATATACCTTAGCATTAGGATGATTACTCATACTTATTTTGTGACGAAATTAAGCTTTTATAGTCAAACATTTTTCTTCAAAAATATCATGCTATTTTTACGTCATAAACCATATTGGGAATAAGTCTTGGAAGCATTATTAACCCTTTGAAAATTAATAATGGTAGACTAAGAATTTACCTCCACAGCTTAATTTCGTAGAAGAAATGTAGTTGTGGTGCAGTTGAGCTCTTTATATATAATTTTGCTCTTGAAACTCCTTCTGGCATCTTCATCAAAATTTACAGTTTTTTTACGAATTTAAAACAAATGGTAAAACTGAAAATCTTTTAAGAGACAAATTTTTAGTATTTGAAACAAGCCACTATACTTCTCAAATTCATATATAATAAACTTTGTGCTTATATAAGCTTATTTATATCTCTCAAGAAATTCTGAGAGTGCCTTTAAGATTTCTCTTCGCCAGAAAATTCAAGCATTCATATCGGAATTTCATACCTACTCTGATGAGAATGGTAGGTCAGCAAATCATCTTGCTAAAATAGCATTGGTTAACATTATAGAAGTTAGTATATAATAGGCTTTAGCTATAAAGCGTCCCAAAGTTACAGCACTTGTTGGCAAAGGACCTCATTCTCTGGTTATTAGTTTCTCTTACATCTCTTTGGTCTAGTCTTAATAAGTATTCAATAACGAAACTAAGCGGAATGTTATTAAAATGAAAAGTTGTAGCTCAGTACATCAGGGCAGGGAAAGTTTATTACTGTTTCTTATCTCCTCGATCAGGATCATAGAGGTAAGTTAGCAATTTTATCAGAAATAATCAAGTCTCATTGCTCTCTCTTTTATACCTTGCTGGATCCATGATCCAAGTCTATAATTTGGCAGGATATCCTAGCGTAAATTTTAAAATATGAGGGAAATGGTTTTTACTTAAATTGAAGTGATAAATCAAGTGCTTTCTATTTCTTCCTCTACAGTAAATCATTAAGAGATGAAAACAACAAGAAACTTGCCTAAAGATAGTGCAAGTATTAAGAAAGCACGGAATACCACCTCAGACATTTGTTTTTGAGGTTTTAGTACGTCATCTCAGAGTTGTTTGCAAATCTCAAAAGTATTGTTAACACTCAGCTAAGAAACCCTCTTCAGCTCTTAAAATTAGTAATAATAATTTTAGGGGAAGAGAGAAATCAGTAGACGTTATAAAAAGCTAATGATTTTGAGGTGTTGATAAAAACTGATCTCTACTAAGGTTTACAAAATTCTTAGACAATGCCAGATTTGAAAATTTTATCAGATCTTCTTTTTCAAAAATAAATTAAAATACCAGTTTACAAAATTTTTATTACCCTTTAGTTCGAAACAAAAGTACAACTCCTGCACTATTCTTAAAATTACCAAATTTCATGTAAAAATTCCTTAAACCCCATCAAAGCAAACATCCGAGCAAATACCTGCCTCTCAGTCCTAAACCCCCCATAAAACCCACCCCCTCCTTCCCACAAAAACTCCCCTTAACCCACTCCTTACTCCAATTTTCCTCTAGACCCAGTCCTACCTCACTTAGATTTCTATTAAGGCATCTGAGAGGGGCTGTGGCTTAAGATTTTGGGAAGGATGAGCAGACATTTTTGAAATATTCAATAGTAGGGTGGAGCTGGGGTTTTGGGGTTTTGGGGTTTTGGGGTTTTGGGG